AAAGAGAACAAAAAACCCTGAGAAGCAAAGTTGGTTTAAGAAAAAAAATCCTTACATGGGAGCTTTTGTGTGACTTTTGTGTGCAATGAGTCAGTGACTCTAAATTCTGTTTCTACAAATTAAACTCCGCAGCATCTTAATGAAAAGCAGGACTCCGTCAGTTTCTGGAAGTCTGCTTATCTACGCTCTCAACTGACAGGACAGGAATTGAACGAACCAGCAAAACAATTATCTGGACACCTGTGAGTGATTTCTCAGAAGCAAACACCATGAAAGGAGGAGTAAGGATGGGGAGGCGGGAAGACACAAAACAACTGTCTCTACATATACGTAAAGTGTATTTGCAGGAAAACTGAAAACGAAATTCTGCCTAGCAAAGTACACAAACAAAGGGTAAACATTAGTAGTTTAAATATTTAAGGGCATCTTTTAGGTGAACGCTCATGTGACACTGCAAAGCATCAACAGGAAAAGGAAGTTCTGTCTCTGGAGGAACTGTTATGGTATGATAATGGAATTTGGCCCCTTTAAAAATCAACAAATAAGTCTCACAACTGGGTGAGACTCTCTCATCAGAAATTAAACTGCTTTCTGCAGGAGCATTACTGTTGCACTTAAAGACTCTGCTTCAAGTATTTGGACTTTGTTTTGTTTTGGTAACAATATTTAGGTTAACTTAAAAAAATAGCAAGCTAAAATTTGGAAATAACATACAATGTCATAATTAAATTGAGAAATAAATACGCTCAAGGAACCAAGTTGCTTTCACTGAAAAGTACTCAAAAGAACTCTAAAGTGTCAGAGAATGACACTTGGCCACATCTTCTATACACAACGCCATACAACCCTGATTAACAAACAAGATCCACCTGCCATGCCTAAACCAGACTTGGGGTTTACATCTTTAAATGCTAAAGCGTCTTGAAGATGAAATATAAAAAAGATAATTAGAAGCAGGCCCCATGATTTTCCCTCATTTCCTTCAGCTCCTGGAAACTGTCCCCAACAAGAGCCCGTGATTTACTGGTAGTGTCAACATTCTGGAAAATTAGGTAATTAATAATTAAACACTGTGCAGGTCACGTAAAAAGAGATCAGATTCACAAATCACCAAGCTCAGATTCACAAATCACCATGCAGCAGAATGGAAATTAAGTTCACCCACAGAAACTCCTAAAATGAAGAATCTAGAACTACCACAGGACAGGAATCAACCGGGTGATGCACCAATACCCACCGACCTCGGGCTCTGACCTTCACCCAAAATGACCTTCCTCTGGCTCCAAAATGAGCACACTATCTTAATGCACCCGACAGAAAACCACAATCATGGCTTTCCTTCATTTCCTCTGAGAATATGGGGAAAGTTTCTGTCCAAAAAAACTGCATTTCCAAATTCAATCAACCGGATAACTTGGCAGCAACCCTAGACTAATTGCACAGCTCCGAAACAACCTTCTTTCCTATGCCTGTCAATTGCACCAGTTGAAGGCAAAACTGCGATCACAGACTCCCCTGCTGCGTGGGGCCAAATCCAAGGAAGGTTAGCGACCGAGGAACTTCATACCCACCTGTCCGTGATAGTAGACTGTGTGCCACTCATTGGGGCCCTTGGCGAGAGGTCTTCTTTTTATCCAACTTGCATTTTACAGTAACACCTCCACACCTCACCCCCAGTATTCTGGGATCAGGCTCAATTTCGGCAGGGACACAAAAGTCCAACTCAAAACTCCATTCAGTCATCTAGAACATCCGATTGCAAGGGGTCAAGGAAAGGGGATGCGGGTTGAAGCAAAACAAGTTATCTCCCCAAACAAACCGAACAAGTCGGCCACAAGGCGAGTTCTAGAATTAGGAATGATCCTCAGCAAAGCACGAAGAGGAAAACTTCGTCAGAGGGAAGTCGCGAGACGGGATCCCAGATCCCTCCGGGGCTGTGGTAGGATCGGCTCGAGGACGGGCGTCGCCTCCTGTCCCGGAGTCGGCGGGGCCCGGCCCTCGGGTCCCCGCTCTATCTGGGGCTGCCGGCCGCTCGTGGCCGCAGACTCCGCCGCGTCTCGCGCCGTCCCGCGACCGGCTCGCGCCGCCCCATGTCCCCGGGCCGGGGCCCTGAGCTGCTCCGCGCCGCCCCCACCCGGCACCGGCCGCCGCGCTGACAGGGTCCCTATCTCAGTGCCGCGGGCAGCTCCCCATCCCTCGGAGGCCCCCGCGCTTCTTCCGCAGTGGCACGACGGCTCCTCCCCGACGCTCTGGTAGGCGGCGGCTCCCGCGAGGAGCGGGAGGTCCCGGCCCGGCCCGGAAGCCCGGCCCCCGAACAGCGGCGGCGACGGCGGTGGCTGCTCCGCGCGGAGGGCCGCTCGCCGGGTCCTCAGGGGCACTCGCGGGCGCGCGCGCAGGGCGGGAGGGGGGCGCCGGCGAGGATGGGCCTTGCGACCACCGCGGACACGCGCGCGGGTTCCGGTTCCGGTTCTGTCTCCTCGGCCCGGCGCGGCTGGAGCGCGCCGAGCCGTCCCCTCCCCCGCCGACTTTTTGGGCCCTTCTCCCTGGGACTTCGGGAAGCCGCTTCACCCGGGATCCCTCCGCTCCCTGACTCTCCAAACTTGCGCGGATACCTCCGCGCAACGCTGTCAAGAGGGGTGGAGGGGAGCGAAAAGTAGTTCTGCGGGGCAGAAGCAAGCTGCTTCTCTCTCCGCCTCCAGCCGCTGTCCTCACTGTCCCTGAATGCCCTCGAGGTCCAGTCCAGAGTGTAGCTTCCACCCGGGACAGCAAACGAGCCATTCTACAATCCCGGAGTTCACATCTAAAGGGTCTTCGGAGAACTCTCCGCCTCTCTCGAGCTGGAAACTTTTATTCTTTAAGGGAATGTACTCGTTCCCGGTGTCAAATGCTTTTGATGGCTGCACACAAGCCCGGGTCCACGTGCCCCGACAGTGTTAGGCAAACCCGCACAAAGACAGGTTTGAGGGTGGTCCACTCACCTGGGACACCTGCTGGCCTAGCCTTGCATCCGGGGGTGGCCAGAAAAGACTGAGAAGAAAGGATCTGGGCCCACACTGAAGCCAGGAGTTCCTGATATAAATATTGCTTTTAGGCTGTTTTGCCTTGGCAAAACGCACTGTATTATTTGCCAAATTGAGAAAGCATGGTGCTTTCCACAGCAAGTTAATAAGCTTGTTGTGAAAAGAGATGGGAGAAGAAATACATGTGTCCAGTAAACAGCATCAGGGATCCCTTTGAAGAGTTCCCAAAGATTGTTTTCCGGTTTCTTTTTCGATGGGGTAGAGGCATTCAGCTATCCATGCAGTTTTATAATTGAATAATTCTGTCCCTGAAGAAATGAAGTACCACGACACAGCAGAGTTCTCCAATTCTGCCTGCAAACATCAAGTGGCTATTCCTTTCATACAATTATCTTTAGACTTCGGAGCTTCGAGCCGTGTCAGTGGGAAGAGACTTCGGCCATTTTGTGGAAATCAAATCTAATAAACTGCATGTGGAGAGGAAACAGTTACCTCCTAATAATGCTGTTTCCAAGTCATTCCACAACAGTTCGTGGAAGGATTCATTATCCCTGAATAGATGTATGAGCTCAAGGTGACGTGAGAACAGGGTACAAAGGGGGGAAGATAAACAGGCGCCTGAAATGACTCTCTTGCTGGATTTTTTTTTTAAGTTCAGGGCACAGCCAGCTAATTTTGTAATGTTTATTTTTGGAAAGAATAGAAGCAGATTCGAGTTCAAGCCACTTTCCCAATGATCAGACCTGGACATGTTGCCATCTGCTGGTAAATCCCAACATGGCAATTCTATCCTGAAGACGCCACTTGTTTCTACCTATAGCTGGAAAAAGTTCCAGAAATCTATATACAATAACCAAAATGCAGCCCTTAGCCCCGAGCTTCCTCAACTTGTCTCAGTGTGCCGCCCTCCTCGCCTCGCTCCAATCGTGTTACAATGCAAGCTTCCAATGAATGGAGTCTGATGACTCATCAAATCATGCACTTTAAAAATAAGTTCCCATCTTCCTTTCCAGTCCGCCTCAATGCTTAAGTTTCAGGAATAAAACAAACTGGGAACGTTTCCTAATTCACCTTCTCTTCCTTGCATACAAAACCTTTTGGCAAGCTGCTTTCCACATCTTTCCAAATTTAACAAATCCCAAGGTTCTAGCTGTGTGAGCAGAGAAGGCATTTTGCTGTGGGAAAGCTTCAGAAGATGGTCAGCAAAGGGCTGAATAGCCAGCAGTCACTCACTCCAGAACTGCTGTTTCAATAAGGAGAATCTCTAATCACTAGCAAGGCCTTGGTTTTATCTAATTATTCCGAAAGCCTGGTTGTAGCTGTTGGCTGTTCCATTGTCAAAAAAAAAAAGTCTACCTATAGAATGCATTCAGCAGAGCCAAGCAAACCAAGGCCCACTCCCTAGGTCATACATTGCCCTTTACCTAGGAAGGTGACAGCAGTGTCATCCTCTAAGCCACATTTGTCCTCTGATCCATTGTTTCAACATGTTTATTAAGGACCTACTGTGTCCAGAACTGTTCTAAATATTAGAAATCCCATCGAGCTAAATATGGTAGCTTATACCTATAATCCCAGCAATTGGGAGGCTGAGGCGGGAGGATTGCTTTGAGTTTGGAGGTAGTCTACATAGTAAGTTTCTGGCCAGCCTGTCTACAGAGTGTGTGGCCCTGTGTGGGGGGGTGGGGGTACAGGGGTGAAGATATAGCTCAGTGGTAGAGTGCTTGCCTAGCAACCCTAATGTGTGTGTGTGGGGGGGGGTGTTCGGGGCAACTGCTCAAACAGGTGGCAAAATCAGAATGATAATCTTCCTCTTTAGGCAAACTATTTCTGTGTGCTGATTGCTATCTTCCCTATAAAAAAGTAGGAATGATTAATGCCAAAGAGTAGATTACTGTCACCATGAAGTTGAATAGATGTCAACATTTCTACAAGCCAAAGGCTGTTAAGTCACAACCAAGATACAAAGGCAGACTCCGGGTTTATAAAAAAGTTACTTTATTTTTTTATAAAATGTAGTACAAATTGTATTGAAATATAAATCCTTCTTGAGCATATCAGTTTTGACTGCACAGTAATTCAAATGCAAGTATTTCCTTTTGTCTGGGGACACATAACAGGCCAACGTGCCCTTCATTTACCTGGGTTGTAAAAAACAGGCGACCTCTTAACTGCTGAGTCATCTTCACATTGTTCTCTGAGAGAGCTGTCTTCATAGTTACTAGTTAGAACATCAAGAAAAGCTGAGATGAGGAATTCCTCCCCCACCCCCCATCACTTGTTCAGGTGTCTTGTTATCAAAAAATAAATATAAAACCTGCAGACATTCCCTGGAGTTTGCCTCAAACAGAAAGATCTACAATCTTTACTTCTGAGGTGTAAGAGGGAAAAAAGCCAGTATTAGATTAAGCCTGCTCACTTGTCTGGTCTGGAGCAGGTTGCACGGTGCCAAAATAAAAAGCCAGTTTTGTTTTGTTTTTCCTTTCCACTCGTGTGCCAAGCCACTCTTTTTGACGACACTTTTGCTGAAATCAGCACTCCCCAGTTTCCAATTCTGCCCACAGTTTTGCTGGAAAGGAACACACGGGCATATCTGGGACACAAATCACAAAAAAAGGCGGGGGGGGGGGGGGGGGGGGGGGGAGGGCATGGTGTTGTCTTTCCAAAAAACAAAAAGGAAAGTCCAAGAGCTAAAAGCCACCTCTTCATCTATATAACAGCCACCTTAAAGGTCCACGGTTAAAGTGCCTTTCCATTTGCAAGACCGTCTACACATTTCCAGCCTCTCCCCCACGACTAGTTTCTGTGGCCAATACCATCGATCACAAGGTCACTCACTGGGTCAGTGTCACCAGTGACTATAGAATGAAGGGACACTACTTGCTGACCTTTACAGCCTTGCTTCAGTAGCACCTTTTCCTGGCTGACCAACTGAATTAGCCAATCACCATTGATCTAAATAACGGTAAAAATACCAAATAAACAAATAATACTTTTTTTTTTCATTAAAGCCCTACATTAGAGCCAGAAATGGTGGCACAAGAGAGTAATCCTAGCACTGAGACTTAAAAAGAAAGGATAGAGTTCAATGCTAGCCTGAGCTATGCAAGCAAGACCATATCTCAGGAGAGGGAGAAAAAGTGATTAAAAGGGAATGTATCGGCAACAAAGAAAAAGGAGGAAGGAAGGGAAAGAAAGAGGAAAAAGGAAGAAGGAAGGAAGGAAGGAAGGAAGGAAGGAAGGAAGGAAGGAAGGAAGGAAGGAAGGAAGGAAAGAAGGAACCTCATCACTCTGAGGCCAATACGTACACTGAAATCTTTGGTTCTAGTTTGCAGTATATACCAGGAGCTGAAACCTGAACTCCATCTCAAGTACAGTGGAATCTGCATGGTAAATCCCCATGGAATTTAGCCATGGCCTCTCATGCCTAGCAGATTAATTCTCAAAAGCCCTGAGAACTGGCATACTTTTCCTGGTAGGGCAGAACCCGTACAACAGGACTAAGTAAATCTAAATCTACCCACACTTCATTCATCTTGCATCCAAAGCATTAGCTCTACAGTTTTTTGCACACACAAGAGTTAACATAGCAAGCCTGAACTGCTATCCTTGAAAAGGCCTGCTTGCAATGCTGGCCCTTGGCTGGCACCTAGGAACTTCAACTTAGAGTGGGCTCCCACCAGAAACTGTTAAGACTGGCTCACTGCTCCTAAACTGTTTCTGAAGCAATATGGCTTATGTTAAATGCCTGCTGTGGGGAATCTTGAATTTTGCCTTGTGCTAGGAAGGTTCCTCCGTGACCTATTGCCAGTAAAAGCTCTGGGTACCAAGTCTTTGATGATTTTCATGTGTGTTGACATGAATCACTCCTGTATATCCAAATAGGAGACTTTAGAAACTCATACTTAGATCCCACAGGCTCTGACAAAGGTTCCTTTTCCCTTTGCTGAGTCTTCCCTGTATCCTTTCATTATCATAAGTCAAAGCTGTGAGACTCTGTGCTAAGCCCTGAGTCTTCTTGATGAATCATGGAACCCAAGGGTGTCCTTGGGGACCTCTGACACAGTCAGTGCAGGGAGGCTCGGTGGGAAGTGTCTGCCATTGCTAATTTCACTCCCATCCTTCTGTCTCTCTTTACATAACAGATCACACTCACAGATGCCTGAATGTCAAACGCACGTCCCTTCCTGTGAGTCCCTCCATTTATAGCGCATGGGCCAAACATAGTGAAACTGTCTCGTGGAACTCAGGAGTCATTTCCAAAGGAATAAGAGACAGACAGCACTGATTTCATTCAAGTTCTTTTCAAAGCTGTCTGAATATCAATCAGGCCTCCCGTGAACATGGGAGCCCCAAAACAAGTGGCAACGGTCCACACTATACAATGCCACCTGTCAGTCACCCGTGAGGATGTGCAAGTGCCACTGTAGGAGTGAGTGTCTCAACACTGCATATGATTAGCCTGAGAACCGACTAAAGCGATGAATACATGTAGCCCTTTTTCAAAACCTAGTACCCTACAAGCTCAGTTCTTAAGCACTATAAGCTCAGTTCTGTTTCTGACTCTAGTCCCATGGCCAAGTCAACCCAGTCCATTTACCAGGATCAAGCCTTGGCTAGTGTGCCTTGAGATGCCCATTTTGTCTTAGCTGTCGCTCCTCATTCCTCCTGCTCCGCCACGCATGGTACTTCTTGATGCTTTTCTTCCACGCAAAGCGCCAGATGCTAACCATAAAGCACCAAGACACAGCGTACATTGCTATTCCCCCAACCTTCACAAACCACTTGGGTGTGGGTGAGACCACTTCACAGAAAAGGAGATGGGCGCCTACACCAATCCTCACACCAGTGAACAGAGCCACAAAGAGGAAGTCCACCACATCTCCAGTGAAACTGTGGTAGTGCCCAGTTTCACGGAGAAACCAGCGAATCTGGAGCAACGGGTTGGTGATCTCACTTCCAAAGAGGACCGCGTTGACCTCTGTGCCCGACTCCCCAAGTGCTAGGGCCATGATGATCCCCAAGATGCTCAGTGTGTGGTGAGCCAGCATCAAGGCACCCTCGGACTGGAAATAGATGCACCAGCCCAAGTCGAAGATGAAGTAGCCCAAGGTAAGACACAGAATGTGAACTTGGAGAGTTGTGTTCGGCGAGCCTGAAACAAACCAAGACAGAAAAAGACAACATGGCTGGGAATTGGGTCACCCGCATAGGGAGCCTCTATCTTTCAAATCTTTCAACAGACACAAACTTGCTTTTTTTTTTTGGTTATGGTTATGGTTATGGTTATGGTTATGGTTATGGTTATGGTTTCTCTATGTAGCCCTGGCTGCCCTAGAACTCTCTCTGTAAACCAGGCTGGCCTCAAACTTAGAGATCTGCCTGCTTCTGCCTCCCAAGTGCTGGGATTAAAGGTGTGCAGTACCACTTCCCAGCATAAAGCATTTAAAAATAATAACAAAAAAAAACCCTAAAATCTGCCCTTACTTATAATCCCAGCACTTGGATGGTGGAAGAAGGAAGATCAGGACACGGCCAACCTTGGCTACACAGGGAGTCAGGGCTAGCCTGGGTTACATGAAAGCCTGTCTCAAAAGGCAAACGAATAAACCTAAGTCTAAAACTGTGGTCTTTCTTGTTTGATTTTTTTGCTTTTGCTTTCTGAGACAGGGTCTTCCTAGTACGTCCTCGGGGAGCTCAGGCTGGCCTGGACTTCCAACACACTACCTGGTTCATCCTCCAAAGGTGCGGGTCACAGACAAGGGCTGCAGAGTCAACTCAAGGCAAGCCTGTCTCAAAACAATATCAAAAATACTAAAATAGTAAACAACCTCAAAGAATTCAGTGAGTGATTTGACTGTTCAACCACAGTGTTCTTCCTGTGGAAGAACATAAAAGTTATTTTGTTGTTTCCATGAACATTCTACCTTCCTCCCTTTTAACCAGACTCTTGTTCCCAGACTCTTGGGTCACTCTGTCATGTCCATCACATTTTTTTTTTTGAGACCTTAACTGTGTGGCCTTAACTGTCCTGGAACTCAGTCTGTAGTCCAGGCTGGCCTTGAATTCACAGAGATCTACCTGCCTCTACCTCTGAGTGCTGGGATTAAAGGTGTGCACCACCACCGCCCAACTCAGAACATAGAATAACCTAGAAGACTGGGTTATTGGACACTGGCAGTTCGAACCCATCCTGAAAGCAGACTCCAGAGAGAAGTCCCAGAGTGTCTTCATGTCCAAGGACATCAGGTACAATAACCTGACATATTTAAAAATCATTAAGAACCTTAAAAATGAAACACAAAACTGAAGAATTTATTTCATTTCAGTTTGATGGAAAGATTAGGAATTCGAGGCCAGCCTGGACTATAAAACAAGAACTTGCCTCAAAGAAAATCAACAACAAAGTCACAAAAGCCCATAATCCCAGCTACTTGGCAGGCTGAAGCAGAAGGTTCATAAACTCAAGGCCAGTTTGACTACCATGTGAGTAGTCAGGTCAGCCGGGTCAACTTAGTGAGACCCTCTTAAATATATATATATATATATATGAAAATAGAAAGAAAATTGAAGAGAGTGAGGACACATTCATAGCTTTAGATTTGATCCCCAGTACCACAAAAAGGCAAGAAAAGAACCCCAATAGCACAAAAGAGTCACGAAAAGCAGAAGCTAGACGTACACAGTATCAAAATTAACAATGAGGACTGCAATACAAATCATTAGAATGGAAATTATTCTTCAATATTACTCAAATCTATTTTTTCAAGTGCCCCAAATCATAAATTCCTAAGGAAAAAAAATCTCCAACGTCCCCTCTACCTACCTGGGTGGGTAAAAGGCCAAGGGCCATCAATGAAGCCAATATAAGCAGACAGGCCTATAGAGAGGACTCCATGGGTGAAGGTCACCAGCCGGCAGCTCCACTCATAGCTTCGGTGCTTATTCAGGCGGCAGAAAGACGTATAGAGTGAGAGCCAGCCACCCAGGCTGCACAGCACCTGCAGACACAGACCTAATGCCATCCTATGACAGAAGAGACCAAAACCAGGAAAACAAAGGATGTACCCTAAGGAAACAGCAGCGGGTAATTTTGTGCATATGCCCAAACTGGTACTATAAGACAACATGAAAACGCGGCCTTTTCTGAAATTCTTTACCGTCTATGTACCCAAGCCTCTTGTACATAAATGTGGCTGCTGTATTTATGACTGCAAGTCCCCTTGAGATACTGTGTCAAGCACTTGATAAAAGCTGTGTCCTGGAAGCCAGCAACAGCCCTCTGGATTACTAAACTAACTGCACACATAACTAACAACCCAATGTGTCAATAAGGACCTTTCAGAGACCCCTGACTTTGGATTGTGATACACAGGTGACAAAGCACCTGCACCTGATAATACAGTCACACTTCACAAATGCCAGCACTACCCAGGTAGAGTGGTGTGTGCCTGTAATCTCAGCTACTCGGGAGGCTGAGTTAGGAGGATGTCAAGTTGAAAGTCAGCTCGGTCTACAGAGCAGGTTTCAAGTCTAGCCTGGGCTATTTACAGAAGCCATGCCTCAAAACAGCACGAGAAAGGACTAGGGGGTATAGCTCAGTGACAGAGCACTTGACTTTCATGTGTGAAGCCTTGGGTTCAATTCCCAATACCAGACACAAAAAGAGAAGGGAGCGAAGACAGTTCAGTTGGTGGTAAACATAAGAACCTGAATCTCAGACCCATGTAAAAAAAAAAAAAGCCAAGCGTGGCAATGCATGCTAGTAATCTCATTGTTGAGAGATGGAGAAGATGAATTCCTGTGGAGAAACCCTATCTCAAAAAACAAGGTCATCAGGGACAGAGGACTACCACCAGAGTTCGTGTGTGTGTGTGTGTGTGTGTGTGTGTGTGTGTGTGTGTGGTGTGTGCTCGCATGTGCACTGCTGCACACAGTGGCAGTGCTCTCATAAAAAAATAATAAAACAAATAAAATACCACTTTGGTTTCTGCTAGAAGTCACATGATACCAGGCATCTTAATGTGGTTAAGCTGAAACTAAATTTGACTGAGGTCTGGATTTGGGTCATAGGTTTATCAGACAAGATCAAAACTTGAGGCAAATGTAAATCGAGAGCCAAACAAAGACTCCAGACCTCTTGGAAGACATCCCAACTCTATCATTCATCAACAAGGAAGCAAAAGGATCTTTAAATAAATATTGAGATACAAAAATATCCTTAAGGCAATTATTCAGTTAAAAGCAAAGCAACGTAGCTGCTAAGGGCCTATATTCCGAGCACTGGGGCAGCAGAGACAGGAGGATCACCTAGAGTAGGAGTTCAGACTCATCAACACAGTGAGTTCCAGGCCTGCTAGGGCTACACAGACCTTGTCTCAAAATGATAGATGAAGGACACAGGGATGGACGGATGGATAGATGATAGATAGATAGATAGATAGATAGGTAGATAGATAGATAGATAGAGATGGTAAAATCAGAAAACTTACATTTTTTAATTTTTGCTGATACATTTAAACAAGAATAGTCATCACTAACATTAGTCGTATAAAAAAAAGTAGACTCTAAAAAGGACTAAGATGTCCTTGTTAATATACATTAGCCCCTCTATTAAAAGTACAAATGAAGAAATCCCAAACACGTCAGCTACCAGCTACACCTCTCATCTCTGCAGGAATTCTCTGCATGACTTAACCACTCACCCTTTTCTGACAAATGCTGACCAACACTCCTCAACACACGGGCCACTCCCAGGAATGCTATCCAGAGAGGGCTTGGGCAAAGGGCAAGTTTTGCCCAGCTTTCATGAGAAATCAGGTTTCCATTAAAGAAAACAGTAGGCGTCCATCAGAAACCTGTAAGTGGGGAAATCACTTTAACCTGAAGAATGAGTTTAAACTAAAATTAGAGAACAGAAAAAGGGCAGAAAGGAGGGGGGGGGGAAGGGAGTCAGTTCGGTTCTAAGACACATTTTTCTGAAACTTCTAGGCCAATCTTCAGAGTAAGGGCCAGACATACAAAGTACCCGAGTGAAAAGCGCTGTCCCTCTTACTTCCTTTGAAAGGCCAGGGTCACTGGCCAGTAAGGCGGATCAGCTGATTGGGACTCGGCGATTAGTATTTTTAGAGTCCTCTTCTCTGAATCCTAATTCCCTGGCCCAAGAGAGGAAACAGTAGCCCATTTACAAACACTCCAGTTAAAAGCAGGCATTTGTAAACGGCAGACCCAGCTCTGTGACCTTGAGCCTTCGTGTCTGGTGTGGGTCTGGGAGGTTCCCAGGCCCTCACAGCTCGATGCCCAGGCTCCCCCATCCCGGAGAGCAGCGGCGCTGGGCGGGCGCCTGGCTCCAGGCCTCGGTCAAGCTGCAGCCGGGGGCTCCGAGCCAGCAGCAAGATTGCATCCCGAGAAGGGACGTGTCTGAAGGCCTCGGCCACGCCCGGCGTCCAGCCCGGATCGCCCCATCTTGGACCGTTATCTAGGCATCCAGCCGGGTGCCCAGAGCTTGGCGCAGAGAGGCCCCGGCGCCCCGGGGCAGAAGAGCCCGAGCGCACCTGGCCGCCCGCCCGCCTTCTTCCCCGCCTGCGCCAAAGGCAAGCCGGTGCCCATCCCGCCGGCGAGCTCTGTTACCTGGCCGAGCGCACCGGGAAGCCTTGGGCGCCCGGGCGCCCACAGCCCAGGGCCCGGATCGCGGCGACAGGAAGCTGTAGAGGGAGGGGGAGACGAGGCAGTGACGGCGGAGGAGGAGGAGCCGGGGGTCTAGGGGCACCTGCTGGCTGGGAGGACAGAACGCAGAGTGGATGCTGGGCCAAGGAAGGGAGAGGAATGGAGGGTCCTACTTTGGGCAGGGAAGGGAAGGGTGTTGTGTTGCGCTTATTTGTTGGTCGGTTTAAATCATCATGGAGCTGTGAATGCACTATCTGTCTGGATTTTTAGTGATAGAACGTTTGCCATAACACGTGTGAGGCCCTGGATTCAACCCCCCAGTACTCTGCCGCAGTCAAGTATCCTGATCCATTCCTCAGTCTGTGAGCCTTTTCACTAAGCATTTGCTGAGCACCTACAATTTACACTATCCTATATAGGTGATGCAATAGCCCATCTTTGATCTCCTGCTTGAATCTGAGTGGGGAAACAAGCACGCTGAATGCCAGAAAAGCACTTAGGCCTGGGAATTACAGCGCTCTCTTTTCAGAACTGTCGGATAAGGTTTAGAAGGAGCTGGAGAAACCTGGAGGTGGTGGTACACGCCTTTAATCCCAGCACTTGGGAGGCAGAGGCAGGAGGATCTCTGAGTTTGAGGCCAGTCTGGACTACAGAGCTAGTTCCAGGACAGCTAGGGCTGTTAAACAGAGAAACCCTGTCTCGAAATAATAAAATAAAATAAAATAAAATAAAATAAAATAAAATAAAATAAAATAAAATAAAAAAGGAGCTGGAAAGATGGCTTTGCTGCTCTCGCACAGGACTAGGGTTCAATTTCCTGCACCCAAGTCAGGCAGCTCACAACTGCCTCTAACTCTAGCTTCAAAGATCTAACGCCCTCTTCTGGCCCAAAGTGCAAATTTTTTTTAACGTTAATTCTACTTGGTCTGCAGCTGGGCAAGTCAAGTCTATGCCTCCTTCCTCATCACAGAATGGGGAGAGAAATGCCTCGCTCGTAGATTATTGTGAAAATGTAAAAGGTTCACATTAACGAGAACATAGGACAATGGGCAGCACATGGAAGGCCCTATAAAAACCATCTATTGTCTTTATTTAATTTTGGAGTATTTCCTCCCCAATACTGGGATTAAATCAGAGGCACCAAGCATGCGAGACAAATGCTCTGCCACTGAGTTGTATTCTCAGGCCTTTATTTTATCTTGGGACAAATTCTCTCTGGGTCTGAGGATACTGAGTTTCGAGAAGTATGAGCTTAGTAATGTAGTGGTGTGAGCCTGTAATCCAAGCACTTGGGATGCTGAGGCAGGAGACTTGTAAATTAGAGGCTAGCATGTATATTTTGTTTCAAAATTAAAACACACACATATACACGGGGAGGAGTCTGGCTTGTTGATCAAGGCTGACATATCTGGGTGCTAAGGAGCCCAGAAGTAAAGCTCTTTAGAAGAGCTGTATTTAGTTCATATCTAGGAATTGTAAAGGTTCTCATTTTAGTCGTTTATCTTGCTAACCCTTCAAAGGGAAAGATGACACTCTTCATCTGTTTACCCAGGACCTCGTATGGGGCAGGTATAACGAATGCTGGTTGAATTATGAAAAGAGTAAGTCAGTTGGGATGGCTCACCCCTGTAATCCCAGCACTGACAAGGTGGAAACAGGGAGATCAGGAACTCATGTCATTCCCAGCAATGTAGAAAATTCAGTGTGGGCTACAGGAAACCTCCCAAAAAGGAAGAGAAACCAGGATTACTAGGAAACTACATGAGAAACAACAGAGATGACTTTCCAGAGCTTGTTGATCATATGCATTACTTGGAAAGTGATTTCAAAACACACATACAGACTGCATCTTGAATGCAGTGATTCAGTGGGCCTGATATAATGCAGGAAGAAGTGTGTTTTAAAACCTGCCTGGGGGGTAAGGCCACAAGTGGAGGGATTGGGACATCAACCCGGCCACAAAACCTTCGACCTACAGTTTGTCCTGCCTGCAGAGTGTTCTAGAGACCAGAGAGGCTTCATCCAGCAACTGATGGGTGCAGATAAAGAGCCCAACAGTCAAACATTAGGTAGTACTTGAGGAGTTCTGCAGAAGAGGAGGAGAAAGGAGCCAAAGGGGCCAAGGACACTACAAGAAAGCCCACAGAATCAACCATAGAGATTAAACCAACATCCAGAGAACCTGCATAGGACTGGCCTAGTCACTCTACATATCTGTGACACTTGCATGGCTCGGTTTTCTTGTGGGACTCGTAACAATGGGAAAAGGGAGGGACTGTCTCTGACTCCTTTACAGGCTTTTGGGACCCTAATCCTCATACTTGATTGCCTTGCCCAGTTTTAATACATGGGGGAGGTGCTTAGTCTTACTATAACTTAATATGCCTTGGGAGACTAGCCCTAGGAGGAGAGGATTGGGGTGGGGCTAACAGAGAGGGTGGAGTGGGAGGGTGGGACTGGGAGAAGAGGAGGGAGGGGAAACTGTGGCCAGGATAAGAAAGAAAGAAAGAAAGAAAGAAAGAAAGAAAGAAAGAAAGAAAGAAAGAAAGAAAGAAAGAAAGAAAGAAAGAAAGAGGGAGGGAGGAAGGAGAGAGAAAGAGAGGGGAGAGGAAGGGGGAAGGAAGGGAGAGAGAGAGAGAGTGATTTTTAAAAGTGTGTTGAGATAGACCAGATAACAGAGTGAAGGCCTAGGAAATGGTGACCATGAAATCTGCGCCACAAAAGGACTCTAAGTAGCTTCAATTCCTTGCTTGTTTTTGCTTCAGCATTTTGTTTTCATTCCAATCTCTTGATCTGGGACTTTCTTCTTGCTGCCTCTATTTCCTACAAATGAACAGACTACTGAAGACTTAAGGAGGCTACAGGTTCGGGGGTGAGGAAGTGTCTTTCCTTCCAAGGATAATGGACCTTTATACAAAAGTGACTGGGGTTCTGAAATCAAGCCTAATTATTTGAGATGAACTAGTACTGATTTATCTTTTTAAAGATAGGTCATGCATATGGGTGCTTTGCCTGCAAGTATTTCTGTGCACTACATTCACGCAGTGCCTGAAGAAGCCAGAGGATGGAGTCGATTCTCTAGAATTGGAGTTACAGATAGTTATGAGCCAATGTGTGGGGCTGGGAATCAAGCCTGGATCCTCTGCAAGAGCAGTCAGTGTTCTTAACCCACTGAGTCATCTCTCCAGGCCCCTAAACTTTATCAATTTATCCTTAGTCAGTCTCTGCTCCACTACTCTTAGAGCAAGCCTAGCACAGAAGCTCTCCATTAACTTCATCACAATGACAATAACGATCACAGGTGACATTTGTATTGTGTTGTCTTACTGCAAAAGCCATTGTCCCAAGTCCTCTGACTGTGATAATTTATATAGACTGGAGTCTATTTTTAGGTCCAATTTAGAGTTGAAAATTTTAGGCACAGAGCACTCCAGAAGTTTCCCCAAATGACATGGCCAGTAGAAAGGAGTTGGGCATAAATTCAGACAAAACGATTAAGGAAACATGCTGAAATTTGCTACATGGAGTCAGTGTGGTGGCATAGGAAGATTGGGAGAACAAGGCTGTTCTCGGCTACCTTATGAGTTATTATCCAGTGTAGGCCAACTGGATCAATTCTTAACTGTCCTGTTACAAATTACAGTGTTTTTATCGTACACAGAGATTTCTCTATTTTTATCAAGACTCTGTCTCAAAGAACCAAAAAGCAACATTAGTTGACAACAGGTGCTCCAGGTCTCTCCTGCTCTACTGCTCCTGCTGCCGCCGCCACTGCTGCTGCTCCGAATGGATGGAGGATATCCGAGTTAACTCGCAATAAAGACTCTGCTTTTGCATCAGAGCCAGTCTCATGGCGATGTATCAGGGATTCAGACTTCGAGCCTAACAGAACTCAGGTCCTCAGGCTTGGCAGCAAGCACCTTTACCTGCTGAATTATCTTGCAGACCCAGAAAGTTTTGTTTTGTTTTTAATGGTGTTTCGAACCCCTTTAAAGCCTGCCCAGCAACTCCAGACTGCACACCCCTGCCTCCCAATCTCTGCAACCCCGACTCAATATCCGGGTCTACAACTTCAGAAGACTTCTGCTTTATCAGAGGCCAGGTGGGATCCAGCGACCCCAGGCCTACAACTTCAAAAGAAGACCTCTGCTTTACTGGAGGTCAGGCAGGATCTAGGGACCCCAGCGCTGGCAGCAGTACTGGAGCCCAGGCTGGTTCTAGGGAACCTAGAACCCTGATCAGATCTAGGGATCTCATTCTTCACCACCACCCCTGGGATCCATACCCTAATCTTCAACTTCAAAGGAAGACTTCAGCTTTACAAGAGGTTGGGCTGGATCTAGGGACCCTTAGCACCCAAAATCCCAAAGGGGACACCTTACTGGACCTGAAGACTTCCTAGTCACAAGAACCCTTGGCTATTTAGGTCAGAAGACCAGAAAGGAAAGAGAAACCAAGGGATAAAACACCCATCCAACAAAGACAAATGCAGGACTCAACACCTGGACCTACAATCACCCCAAATCCAGATGCCTAAATGCCAGTGTAAGAACACAATAACAGAAACAACACTATGGCACCATCAGAGTCCAGCTATCCTACAACAGCAAGATGTGAACAATCCAATACAGCTGAAGCACTAGAAAATAATCTTAAAATTACTTTATGAAGATGATAGGGATCCTTAAAGAGGATATGCACAAATCCCTTAAAGAAACTGAGGAAACAAATTGACTAACCATCAAAAAGATTGACAAACAAAAAATTGGAAGAAATCAATAACTAGCTAAAAGAAAGCCAAGAAAAAAAATAACAAATAAAGGAAACTGTTCAAGACATGAAAACAGACAGAAGCAATTAAAAAACACACGCACACACACAAATGGAGAGAATCCTAAAATTGGAACATCTGGGTGGGTGAACAGAAACTACAGATGCATCACCAATAGAATACAAGAGGTGGAAGAGAGAATCTCAGGCATTGAAGTCACAATAGAGGAAACAGA